CTCAGTCAATACTTCTACGCACCTGTAATTGTCGCCTACATATTTACCTTTCACTATTACTTTTTCGATTGCATTTTCGCATCCAACAAACAATATCCATGCGCACGGAAGATCATGCATAAAAAATGTGATCGATACACTTGTCGCAGTCTTTTTCATAAAAGAATTAAAATATAAATTAAATCGTCTGTCATGTTATTTTATGTCTGTTATGTTATTTTAAAAAAGTAAAAGTGTGCGCGCGTGCGTGCGTGCGTGCGCGCGTGCGCGCGTGCGTGCGTGCGTGCGTGCTGCGTGTACACTCGCAGCTGAACAGAAACTGTCTCTGATCTCCGTGACCAGCTGGATCAGACAACCTGCCATTCTCCTGTTTCAAACTCCCTTTTCTTCAATCGCGTGTCTCTCCTAGCGTGAGTGTGTCCCGTGTATGTACAATGCGTAGGACGCATTGATAATTCCGTGTGTTTACAACGCGTTCCGGTTACACGCGGTTACACGACGCCGATCGCAGACTGCTTGGAACCGCGTGCGAGTTTGTTAAATGTGGTCGGTGCGGTTAAATGCGATCGCAAATTTACGTGGTTTTTTATCTCGTGTCAACCGGCGTAATTGTTCAACAAGGTATTTCTATATAAATCTTGATCTTTCACTCATCTTACGCGATATGAGTTATGCCAATCTATGTATTATATATTATTATAAATATTATTATATATGTATAAGACAGAAGCTTTTTTATTATTATTAAGATACTTTATATACAAAAGATTTACAAAATCTTATCTTTATTACAAAAGGTTCTCTATTAATTTAATTTTGTTAATAAGTCTCTGATATCCCAAATTGGTTTCATAAATCCACATTCTTAGGGAGGTACCTCAATTTTCACTCTCAGCACCCTCTCGCCCAAAAAAGGGGCACTATTGCTGGACTCATCGATAGAAACGTTCTTATTATCTCACTCGAAATACCATCAAAAAAACTTAAATTTAATGATCACTATTAATGAATAATTACCCTCTGAACTTTATCTTTGATAATATTCATTCTAGATTAAAAATTCTATTTAAACGAGATTAAGCATGCCAAATGCACAATAGTGAAATCACAAGAAACAAAATGGTTCATTACCTTACCTTTTGTTTCGGGAATTGCGACCAAACTCAAAAAAAAAAAAAAATTGCTAATGATTTCAACGCAAAACCCGCGTTCTTTGAATAAGTCTATGAATAAGGTGAGGCATGATCAGGGTTCAAGTAAGGACGCTGTACCAGCACATTCCAAAAGGAATGTAGTATACAAGATCTACTGCAACAATTGCGATGCGTGCTATGGACAAAGACTATGAGACAATTAAAAACGAGACTGCATAACCACAACACCAAAATTATATACGCAGAACACAAATACACATTCAGTCATTACGAGATTAGATTACGACCATGAATTTAACTGAAACAATGTGAAAGTTAGACTGTGAACGAAATTTACAGAAACGATGATTTCAGAGATGCTTTTTATTAAAAGACAAAATAATAGCCTAAATTCTATACAGTCTGGTACTGAATTCTTGCATCACGCATATGTTTCCATTCTTGAGCAAGCTGTAATCTCGGTTTTGTTTTGATTGCAAGTTGTTAAATTTAAAAGTCATTACGCTCAGTTACTGCCTGGAGCTCAATGTGTTGCTGCTCAGTGCGAATTGTGCCGTATTCCTGCACGTGCTTTCTCCGTTTTAGTGTGAACTGTGTTCATCTGATAATTGACAGCCCCTTAATGACCATTGTCTCGTTTCTTTTAAAGATGACATATATATGTATGGTATTATAATAAATATTAATTAACGATTTTATCATCGGTGGGCTCATCAGATGAACACAGGATCTTATCTTTATTTTTATTTATTCACTGAAGATGACTCAAACTTGAGTCGAAATGTCTGTATTATATATTAAAGTTTGTAATAAAGAGTGTTAATTTAAAAAAAAATGATATTCCTTTTTTATTTTAACACAATAGTACAATCATTTGATGTACATTGTGTTAAAATAAAAAAGAAATATCACGAAAGAAGTTTATGTACGCATATATGAAACATTAAGAGTGAAATAATAAAATGAAAATAGCATTGAATGAAATGATTCAATTCTCTTTTTACTTGTATTGTATTGTATTGTAAGACCTATCGAGCGATTCTTACGAATAATCATCACTACTCCGGTTATGCAATATTATGCGGAACAATACATCATTAGAATGAGGCGCAGCTAATATGTACGTCATAATCGCAAATAACGTGAAACAATCATCGTTTTTTCATAGTTGTTTTATTAAGCATTAAATCCTGGAAAAATAAAAACAATTATTTAGGTGCGATTCAGAGAGACATCGTTAATTACTATCGTTAATTGCTATCAATGTACTTTAAAGAATTTTTACAATTATCAAGCTTTTGTGCTATCTTACATCTCGCAAAAAATAAAAATAAAAAATGTAAGATATCTTTAAGAGAAAATATCATATTTCCATTTTAGTTAATATTTGTATCGCAAATGCATCGCAAATGCATAAATATCACGTTCTTTCGATAGAATCATATTTGCACTGTGCATATGGTCTTGGTATTGATGCTTCCGACGATAGATAAATTCTCGTACACAGTGAGAGTATACAGACAGGAATAACATGGATTGGATAGTCTCGATGCGAAGAAAGATTGGAATTCGCGCTGGGCACAGCCTCTCAATGGAATAAAGAAAACGGTGGCGCGTGCAGCAATTGCGTCGTCAATTTCTTCATCGAATCAGAGTGTCAGGCTGATGACAGTCCGATTGCCGTTGATGACTATACATCTCGATTCACGATGTATAGAGACGTGAAAAATTTTAATGGCATTCGCAGCCGCCATTCTATAAGAACATCGAAGCAAAAAATACGACAAGCAGAAGAGACACTGAGAATTCCTTCGTCATGAATGAGAGGGGAAAAAATAAAAAATTTATCGAAAAAAATAATCGAATTTCTGCAATATAAGTAAAACGCTAAGTAATTAATTTAAGCCCTTGTGCAACTGTAAACGTTCCGATCTGAAGATTGCCCGTTGATTCTGATGTGATCGGATTTTACGACAGTGAAACGGTGATACGCGCGGATATTAAAATAATGACATGATCAATTACGACATCAATCATAAAAATAGTAGTAGTACTATTTCAAACTTTTTTAAAATAATTATTTTGAAGCTATCTTGAAAGTACGTAAGTTAATTTCCGTGTTTCGAGTAACTAATTAATCAAATAAATCCAGATGTCTTGCCAATCACGAATTAACAAGATGATAAAGCTGGTATGATTAGCTAAGTAATTTTTTTTTAACAGCGTATCGTAACAACGCGATAAGATCTTTTCATTTATATTATCAGGTAGTATAATCTCGCGAAATTAAAATGATGATTGAATTTAAAGCTACCTGCAGTTCAAGACTACGTCGTCCTGTAAATGCCACGTTTATGAACGTGTCACACAAACTTCAAATGTTCTTCGTCATATTCAAATCCTATGTAGAATTTCAGTCAAACTTTTCTCATTTCTATGTAACTATTCCCTTCTGATTCTTATCCCTTTGTTACTTCAGAAAGTATGGAATACAATTTATGTGTATCCTTTATAAATTTTTAGGTTCTCCCATATATCAGGATAAAACAATTAGAAAGACAAAATTTTTTAAATGTTTTACAATGTGCGCACACGATATACAAAATATTATCCTCAAAAAGTATTGCAATAATCAATAAAATTATTGTTAATTATTAAAGGATATACAAAGTCCTTCAGAGATATGGAAACGATCGTTTCGAAATAACTTCGAAATAACAGGAATGTATTTTAGAAAAAAAAAATGTTAAAGGAGAAGATGTAAGGTTTCAAAAAGCTATCTTATCAGTTTGACTTTGGGTGACGATGCCAAGATATAGAGGAAGATATTAAAGCCCCTGTATATATTATAATATATCCTATTTCACAAATCGATTAACATCAATGAATACGAAATATCAATAACAGTAATACATCATCTAAACTCCTAACAATTATAATAAAATAATATATCATAGAATATTGATCTTATTTAATTTTTTAAAATTACGGTATAAAATTTCATCTCAAGACTCTTCCTGCATACAAATTACATAAAATATTGTAATATCTTATAATATTTAACTAATTTTAATTAATTATTTATTGTATTAATGACCAGAATTTTAAATTGATTATTCAGGAGATTATATAAAATTCTTGATAAATATCAAGATCTAATATTTTGATAATGTGGAAATAATGTGGAAATAATGTTAATAATGTTAATTAATAGCAATTATGAGCTAATTGGGGTCGACAACGATTTTGCCATGGTTTCTTAGAGTTATCAACATAACAAGAAAATCCAAAAAAAATGTTTTCTAAGGAGAACTAATTCTTTCATCCTCTCGTTTTCCTTTCCTTTCCTCTTGTTTTTCTTTACGAATAATAATAATAATAATAATAATATTCTTATGAACTCTCATAACTCCATCCCGTTATCTTTTATTCACAGATTAGAAGAAGTCATCAAAATCTTTGTACGCTAGCAATAGCTGGAAATAGGCTATCGAATGAGACAGACTTCATTTAAACTTAACTTTTAAATGCCTGTTAAGCATTCCCCACTTTCAGGCGCTGAATAATATTTAACGCTATTGATAGAGTCTGACGAACCCAATAAAGTAACACTGAACTCGAAATTAGACATTCTCTTTAATTATTATTCTCTCTGCTAATTTGTCAACTTACTTATCTCGAGTAGTATTCGGCAAATTCGGATAATAATTTCGTTTCGAGATTGATAAAATGAATTTGAACACGTTTTATCTTTTTTTACTACTAGTAGCTCTTTTTTTTCAATGTATCACGAGTAATTGAATCTCTCAAGTAGGAATGATCAGTGCAATCGGTCAATATACTTACTCGGTCGTTTCGAGGTACTGGAAGACGCGATAGACAGGGCGTCGATACATGAAGAGATGATCCTCGACACGCTCCACCATCATCCTAAAACCACTTCATTCGAAACGGTGGGCCACTTATTATCACCCACCGCTTAACACTGATTTTCACGACGCGGCACGGCACAATGGGATAAAACACGCGAGATTACCGCGACGATCCAGATATAAATGTACATATATCCTCGACGATTTTTGAAAAAAGTTCCTTTCGTCCATTCAAACGACTGATGTTTAGCCATATGCCGACATGCACCCTTTTATTCCTCACGATAAAACTGGATTGTTGATTAAAGGTCGTGTCCCGGCTATCGAACTGGTGCTGTCGTGCAAAGAATTCAACGTAGCAACATTCTACGCCCGTACTAGCGAGTACTAGGCAGGATTAAATGAATATCCAGATCGAGCTTCCAGTTTCACAAACAACATCGCTCTTCCGTTTCCATTACGTTTTTCTGTTTATTACATACTGCCAATTCCGTTGAATCGATACGTTCAGCGCAAACGATCGAACGACAGGTGCAGTGGAAGATCGTGTCCTCTAACGTGTTCTTCTTCGATCAACGAGCCTTGCTTATCCTCCTGGTGTTTTGTTCTTGTGATTCCGCCAATTATCCTAATAGAACTGTTAGTTCTAATTATAATCGCATTTTGGAATGATATGACGATTGTCATGTCTGCATAAGTGACGATTAACATAAATTTGATAAGATCACGCTGTATTTTTATCTTATTATACTTCACACCTTCTATGTTTATAATTTACATTAAAAATCAAATATTATGTATTTTACAAATATGTTTGAAAAAAACATGATATATGCAATACTAAGTTATAAGTAATATAAGCACGAGTTTAATAAGCACGATTTCATATATCCTGCTAATTTGGCGCACAATCTAGATTTTTAGTTGCAGTTTTACGAGCGATACACACAGTAGTTCCTAAAGAAAAGGGATAAAGTAGCTATCATATTTTTTGAATAAACGGATGGAAGAAATTGTGATCTGATGAAACAAACCGTCACTACTTTTGGCCTTCGAGAAATGGCCTTTGCTGTCTCCTTAGGAAGCTTCACGACTGATAAGAGAATCACTTGCAGACGTAAATATATGAACGAATGTACCTAACCTACCTCTGTTCCTGCGGAACACCGCCTAAGTTCACCTGCAGTCATTGCAGCCAATAACCACTGCAGTGCAACCCTTTCTTGATATCAAGCCAGGTTTACACGTGAACGGATATTTTCATCTCCAAATAATATGCGATTAAGTATAATAATATTTTACTTTTCGAAGTAAAATTCTTAAATATGAAATTTTAAAATCCAATTAAAAACTTCACATCATTAAAATCATCATATTCTTGTTTTAATTAGATTAATTAGATTAAAAGAAAGATCTTAAACTACACTGCTTTAAAATGTTTTATAATAAAATCAAATAAATATTAACGAGAAAATTTCGAAGATATTTTTACACTGAGGCATTGTAATTAATAAATTATTAAAATAAATTTTTATCAAATCTATGTATTATAAAATATATTCTTAAATTATTTTTATGACACGACATTTATTCTAACATTCTGGCGATAATCCCACTTCGTTTATAAATTTTTACGAACTCCGAATGTGTAAGCAGCTACAAAAATCAATAATGGCCTGAGATTACGTTTTCCTTTTTTCATCTAGCTTTTTTAAAATTTTATAAATTTATACCTACTCGTAAAGTCAGTATTATCATGAAACAGGAATACGAATGAAACTATGAAGACTATTGCATTTTCGAGTAGTTTCGAGACCTGTCCTGCGATAAGAATTTTAAATGGGACGAATAGATCTTGTAACCGGATAGCTCATGGCAAAATCATTAAAAAATTCAAAAGAGAACTACGAACTTTCCGACAGGCTATTGTAAACCACGAGATACTCAACAAAAAAGATTCTTTTTAAACAAGAAGATGTAAATTCCCCATAATTTGTCAAAAAATATTTTCTTTCAAATTCTCTCTTGTTATTACGTATCTTTGCGATAATGAAACACTTGTAATATATTCTCTATTTTGTATAATTTTCAGATTTTATTAGCTGTGCGATTATATATAAATAAGCAAACATTAAGTGTATATAAAAAAATTATATATGACGTCGAAAAAGCCAAGAAATTTCAACACACAAGAGAAATATATTATTCTTAATAATAGAAATGAAAAAGCTATGATATACAATATCATCAATATGATACATGCAATAGCATACAATGTTTAATTTTACGAAATTTCATTGTTTATCACCGATTGCGTTATCGACCGAAAAATCGTTGCAAAATCGTGCAATCTTGACATCGCGCTGCGAAATCTTTCATCTCTCATCATCAGATCATCCATCGACTCCGAACTTTATCCTCGAATGTTTAGACGAATGTTAGACACGTCATAAAATGTGTAAAACGATCTTTTGAGATTTTCCGACTTCTCCAAATTTTTTTAGATATTTAATATATCATCAGTCGTGAAACTGCAAAGCTTGGAAAAATCATTTAACTCTATGCTTTCGGAAATTAATTTTTTTCAAGGATAAATTTTTTTTCAAATAATATCAGAAAAAAATAGCTTATTAAAAAAATATTTTTTTTCAGTTTATACAGAAATAAATTTTCAATTAAAAAGTTAATTTGATAAATTTTAACTTTGAGGAAACGCACATATTCGCACATATTTTTTCAAGAAGAGCCGCAAAACTTTCTGCACAAAATTCAATCCGTCTTATCTCACCTTCTCTTTCGACGAAAGGATACTCCGTCAGGAGCACTCTATCCCAGACGAATCATTTACAAAATCCCCCTTTCACTTCCTTCCACTTTCTTCCCTTCCGATTCTTTTCAATCTCACAATGACCCTTCGCCCTCGGAATTACTAGTTCAATTAACTTTTCTCGTTAACACTCCCTCACAATCACACTCGTACGTCGATCGTACTCTCAAAGCCCACAAACAGCTCAATAATCTCTATCAAAACACCAGTTTGGCATCGCGTCGCGATTTCCTTCGCATTATGGTACCGTAGATCGGGCGTCGCGACGCAAGGCGACCTTGACTCGCATGAAGGTCTCCCGAAGGGATCCCGTTCGCGACGCGCGACGTCGTGGCGTCACGGCGTCGCGAATGAATCGACAAACGGATGGACGGATGGACGGACGGATGGAGCGCTCGTCGGTCGGTGGGCGTCGGTGCGATGGTCGGACGAGGACGGAAAATAACAGCGCGCCTAGCAACAGCGTGCACGACGGTGCGTCTACGTCGTCGTCGTCGTCGTCGTCGTCATCGTCGTTGTCGTCGTCGCCAGGTATACGTTCTGCCAGTTCAAGAGGAGCAAGCGCTTTGCTGGGTGCGGCAGGCTGCGCCGCTGCGACGCCCGGCGTCCTTCCCCTGCTGCGACTCCCTCCGCTGCCGCTTGCTCTTCCTCCCTTCCACTCACCCTTTCCTGCCTGCGTCCGCGTTCAACTGACGCCGGTATCCTGCAACCCCTGCGTGAATAGTAGCGCGGTGCCGGCAGCCCCCCCCCGAGATCTTGCGGACGCGACACGATATGCCGCATCGAACGGGAAAACGACCGTGATAATACGACTGCAATAATTTCGTGCGCACGGAATTTCCTAAGTGTCATTGACGCACGTAAAAATGTTACTTTCATTATAAGTATAATAAGTACGTACTACAAAACAGTACACTTATTTCTTCATGTAAGTCTTCAAATTCAGGTTCAAGCATTCGTTTCTTAGCATCCACATGAGATGCGGACACATAAAATTATGACTTTTAATTGAATAACATATCTGTATGATTTTCCCTAACGTTTGACAGCTACATGAGTATCTGAATTATTTATACATTGATTCTTTATCTTTATATTATAAAGCGCTGTATATGTATAACAAAAAATATAATAAAATAGGAAAGAGAGAGAATTAAATGTACATTGCAATTACATGCAAGAATTTATATCTGATAGACGAAGAAATATGAAAAATAGTACAGACATTCTCCCGTAAAAAAAATATATCAATTTTAAATATCAATTTACCATTCATAATATAGTTTGAAATTCTTACGTTAAATTGAGGACATTCAAATATGAATTTGGCTATCAAAAAAATACAATAGGATAATACAATATGTATCTGGAATCCTGTCAACAAAATTCCCACAGGTATATCACGCATGCAAATTGATGCTACTTATGATATTAATTTAATTAGCTTGGCAAAGATCGATTTCGAGATAGAAAGTCACAATATCACGAAAACCTGACCGTAAATTCTTGCTTTGGCAATTGTTGCAATGGTATTTAATTAGATATCATCATGCAAAAGTATGTCAACAATAATGTCTGATTCTATCGTTACTATTCAAATATTATTTTACTGCTCAAAGATTTAATAAAGCTCATGGTAATTTTTATATTTTACAATCAGATAGATTCATTTCACGTTGATATTATTTCAAAATTACTTTAATCAAAATTCGGAGCAATCGCTCTAAATAAACTCACTTTAAATAAAATATTAATAAAAATAGCGTAAAACAAACCATTTTACTAGCTTAGAAACACGATTACAATTGAATTTACAATTTTCAACGTAAAAAACAATACCTAAATACCTATAGCTAAATTGTTAAAAATGAGTTTCTTTTTATCAGAAAAAATAAATAATTTAAACATAAGAAGAGTGACTTACAGGGTAACTTTAACATGAATTCACTCTTGAATGCAGAGGCGTACGCTCCAATGACCCCATAGGGAACTCGTAATAAATTCTCAATGGGCTAGATGGTCTAATTAATTTACTAAATTAATTTGACGTCTCGAAGGAGATGATATGCACGGACACCAATTAGTACCCTAATAATGCGTGCATTGAAGAACATGTTTTACATATATTTATTTCCAATTTTTTTTCTATATGCTCTGCAATTATGCCACTTTTCTATCTATATTTACTTATTAAAATCACATATTGGTAATTCAATATTTTCATTTTTAAGTTTTTTTTTACTATATATTTATCAGATTTATATTTAGTTTTCCATATTTTATAATTTTATTCAAAATAATGACGCTACAAAAAAAAAACAACGCAATTCGTTATATTTAGAGATCTTGAGCCGCAGCATAATATTCTCTATCACCTTACTTTCTATTCTATGAGAATTCGCTTGCAACGAAATGTTTTATTCTGCAAAATATGTACAGTCCTGAACAGTTGCCAGCAGACGGTAACCAATCCCTCCGAGTGGGATGGTTGCAACCCTATTCGGATATATGCATATACACATACACACATATATATATATATACATATATATATACAGATCAATCTCTCACTGTTTCCTGTAAATACAATAACTTGGAATATCCACCGGCGACCGACGTGGACTACATGAGAGACACGTATCTGACAATTCCGGGGACATTTGCATATATCTGTCCACGTCGGTCGGCCTTAAGTGTTTATAACGACGCAATTGCAGATCTTATCTGTATACGAAATGAACAGACAGATATATGTACCATTTGCAATGCATTTGTCGTTTCGGTTACCTAGAACGAGCAGATTCTATCGGAAAACGGATGATAGGTCGCATCCGAAAATAGTGCCGGCCAGAGTTCACTGTACCAAGCACGAAAATATATCCCAGAGAAGACACGATTTTCGACGTTACCACACACACAGTGACGGTAACGGTCCCCTACCTCGCACTTCGCGTTAATAATTAATACGCTGCCGGATTGTTGATCCTTCGCGACAGCGCGACTTCGTATGCCAATATAGAAATTTTGCTCTTGAACAAATTAAAATCATTCCAATTGCGAATATAGAGAGAGAGAGATTAAAAGATTAAAAGCGCGAGATATCTTTAATTTTGACAAGTTGAACAAATCCACGATTATAGAAATAACAACATGGTAAAAGTCTTCGCGTAATGTCATAATGAGATATGTGATTATAAATAGAATTCTTTAAACATTCGTTGTGCTTCAGCAGTTTCGGAAAGCAGAATCTGATGCGATGTGCTGCGTTTTGTTAACTTAAAGATGTTTACTCTTGAAAACTATTCCTCTTATACTCTCTTTATACTTTAACCCCTTCACAATATATATAGCATATATGCACAGAAAAAAGACGTGCCATCGGTGTGTAATGTGGCATATGTGAATATCTAAAAAAACCGATTTATTCTTTTGTGATTTATACACTGAGAAAAAGATTTCTTTAGATTTAGCAATTTGTTTGAGTTGAATTTATTTATTTAATTTAAATATAATTTTATATTAAACATTATTTTGTTGAATTAAGAGTTTTGTTGTTTCGTTAGAGTATGCCATGTTGTTTAATAGAAAGGACACTATTATTTAAAGGAAATAAAATTTATTTTTGAACCAAACAATACTTTATTTGACTAGATTAAATATTGTTTCAATGAAAGAAAGAGATTTTTTAATATGATATATAAATTTTAATATGATGAGATATTTTATATTATATATAATTATTGAAGCATGTAATAAAGAGCGTTATTTTTTTTCAAATAATTTATTAAACAAATATTTTTATGAAATAAGCTATTTATTATTTGAAAAATCAAACGAATGTTGAATCAATAATTGGTTTGTTTAGACTATTATATCAAAAGATAAATTTCTTTGAATGATTTCTTTGGATTTAATAAAATTTATTTAATCCAAAGAAATTGTTCTCTCTTTGTATAAAGCTTAGTATCTTATGATTTTTGAAGCCGTTAAATTCAAATGTGATGTATAAATTTCAAAATTTAAAGTGGCAGATCCAATATGGCGGATAAAAATTTGAAAAAAATAGTTAAATTATTATAAATTATTATAAAAATGAGTATTCCAAAATTGTTGAAAACACTGAATCAAAATATATCAGAATTTTGGTATTCTAAAGAGTAGATCAAACTTTGAAGGTTCGAATAAATTTTATCTATTTATTTATTTGAGTTAATTTAATTTTTGATATTTTGACATATTTTGATTTAGCAAACTTAGCATCCCCGAGATACCAATTTCGATCTTTTTTTCAACTTCAATCTGTTATTTTAAGTTCTTCATTTTGAATTTTGAAATTCCGATATTATATTCGGATTCAACGATTTCAAAAACCTTAACACTAAAATCATATCGAAATCTAAGAAATTTTTTTTCACGCAACGATAGTACGAAAATCTCATTTTTATCACATTACACGGAAAGAACACTTTTGCTGGCTAAATCTAAAAATTTGATCAGATACAAATCTGAAAATAATTTTATTGGCCCATCAAAATTATGTTGTAGAACGCTTAAATATGGTGATAATACTGCAAAAATGTTTGATCTTCTAACAATCAATTTGAACATCGTATATAATAATTTTTAAAGCCCAACAAAATCGTTTTCAGATCTGTATCTAGCCAAATTTTTAGATTTGCCAGCAAAAGTGTTCTTTCCGTGTAGGAATGGGTTAATATTGTAAAAATTAAATTATATTAATACACGTGCATGATTCATGCATTTTATTTCTTGTCGTGATGCTTTTGTATATGGGAATGTCAGCAAACAATGATAGAGAAAAGACAAAAAAAAAGTAGGTCTTCATTCCAAGAAAAAAATTGCTTTGGATCTCTTTCGGATGCAATAATAAAAAAAAAGTCATTCTCGTCTGTCTCTAAGTCGATAAATCAAGATAGATATAGATATTATATCAAGTAACGTCCATGATTCACGCATATTTTTTCATGATGTAACGTTTGTGAAAATAATAAGATGTGACTAGAAACGACAATCAATAAAGGGATAAGAATAAAGGGCGAAAACTCCATTTCGAAAGAAAGAATCGCTTGGATGTTTCTTTATAATATTTATAAAACCACAGAGAAGAAGTCATATAATTCTCTAATTCAACGAATTAAATTAGATTACACT